CCAAAATTGTTTGCAAGCATCATTTACTTTCACACAAAGTAAGCCTTCAGTAAGCAAAAATAAGCCTTGTTTGGCACTCCACGACGTGGGCCTTAGTAAAGGACAAGTAGGTGTGCCACTCTCTAAGGCTCTAGAGCGGCAGGAGTACACGGGTCAACTGGATAATCCAAATGAGACATTGTGTCTCTGATTTGCAAAGTAGGCTGACGGGACATGAGTTTTTGGTAATGAAGAAAAAACGCCAATTCTTTACTAATTCCCTTTCAGTGGTCAGATTCAAAAGCACATTAGCGCTTTGGAATCTTTAGGGGCAGACCTGTCAGATTCATTTCAAATTACTTTATTATTGTGAAAAGACACTAAGAACAACTTATATCTAAAACTATATTTCACATTCCTGATTATGATGCCAACTATACTAGCTCCTTCTACTTGGTTTTATCACGAAGCTAAGATGTGGACAACTCTTGTTCGACTGTTAGTCTAAACATACTTTTTGTTAGAATATTTATTTGGTTCCCTTGATAGCACACAAGACAAAGAATGCTAAAATAAACACTGGTTAAAATAAGTCCTTCCTTAGCTAAGTACATCTAACAGCAAATGATGTAAACTGTAGCTTGTTAATTTCTATTTCCATCTACATTATTTATTCATTGCAAGAGCTTAACAATATCCAATAGTCAGTTCCACAGCCATGGAATTGAGATAAAGTTAGTCAATAGAAATATTACACTAAATCAGTAACGGTAATACTGGTTTTTAACTAGTAGAGCCTTATAGGTAGCTAATTAACTATATGACTATTTTTTCCCTGAATGACCAGCTTGTACATAACTGTAAAACTTCCCTGGCCTGACCTTATATGTATATATAAATAAAATTAGCAGACTCTAAGACCTCCAACTATAACTTAAAATCATTTCTTCAATTTCATTTCAACCCAAGTATCTCCTCAGAAGATTAACCTTGGGATACAACAGCCAAAAGCACATTTTTAAGAACGTCTTGATCAATAATCAAACATTTTTACAGATTTAAGATGGCTTTTATTAGAACCTGTTCTTTGGCAACCAGAATTATAACAGATTCCCACTGTTGAATCCCTCGGTGGTCCAGTACTGACCTAACTCCTGAATGTGGCAAACTTCATGTAACGAGTTGATTAACGTATGCCCAAAAGGTAAATCAAAGTATTTTTCTTCTGTAAGAAATATGAACATTCTCTGATAATGATTTTAGTTAAAAGCAAATAAATCAATTTCATGCTTTAAATAATTTAATTTGGTCACCCAGAGTAATAAGCCTTTTCCTTTTAAATGAAAATGTGGGGAGCAAGCAGATAAGCTCAGTACCTAGACCAAATAAACAACGATCCGCATTTCGACTCTCAATACAAAGCCATGGGCACTCACTATCTAATTTCCAGGGACTAAATTCCACGGTGGGACTTGTTGATGCTACCTACTCGATGGCAGTTTACGTATCTTTCAAATTCCCACTGTCAGAAGCACTTTCTCATTAACGGGAATCCATGGTGGACCGAGGTGACACGGACTCTTGACAGAAAAGGCTGCTTAGTGTGAACGTATCAGTCAGTAGCCCCCTTAAAGCATCCATCACCTTTCGCTTCTGCTGGGCATAGCTCGGGTTATATTGGCCAGTGGCTCTGCGCACTTCCTCTTCATGCTCTTGAATTTGCTGTTGCAAGAGAATGAGCTCACCAAGCAGACCCTGCCATGAGTTTATAATGAGGAGAAGAGGAAAATTGGGGAGGAGAACAATGTTAAACCACAGGGCACAACAAAGGAGCAGGTGCAAGACAGGGAGGAATGGAGAGTTCATAACAAAAATGGAAACTCACTTAGGTACATTTAGAGTCTCTATCCAGTTGAATACTGTACTGCATTTCCATTTTTCCCCTCAGTAAAATTAGATGCCCCAGAAAAATGAAACAGCATAGTTTAAAAAGTGAAAAGGAAAAAGCACCAATGACTGCTGAGTAAAATGAACCAGTTTCTAATATTAACATACTGTAAAACCGAGACGAACTGCAATGCTCACCAAAGGGGGCGCCATAGTTAATTTTGTTTCCATATTTAATTAACCTTTAATTTTTAATTGCTCATATGCCTCTGTTGGTCCTAAATTTCTCGTCACAATTCTCATACAACTAAACAGAGGACCCACATGGTACAAAGGCCTTGGGTAAAGTTAGAAAATGGGTACCTTCTTAACTATTTAATAAATAGCACACTGTTTCTTACTCATTATCACTTATTTAATAAATAAGCAAAATTATTATTTTTAAGTAAATATCTTCCCTTGTTACCAAATTTCAAGACCGCAGTTCCGTAAACCCTTATGGAGTTTTCTAGCACTGAGTTAACCAAGGTTTTACATTAATTCATATATCCAACGTGCTGTGTGCACATATGCTTGTTGAGACTACAATTTTGGCCGTTTTGGAAAGTAAAAAAATGTTTTAGCTCTAATCTAACTATACGCAGCATCAAAAAACTAGTCTGACTGAATTTTTCACTTTTTATCAGCTGTTATGACTTCAAATAGAAATAACCTTTGAAAATACCTAATCCCATGTCAAGTTCTAAACCAAAAACATTATAAAAGAAGATAAGATATGGAACAAGTTATAACAAGGAAAAATAAAACAAAAACCAGTTTGGACCTATACATAGAATAATCACCTTGCCTATTTCTAACATTCCTTCCATTTAATAATCACAAAATGTTAAACTGGTACAATATTTATCACGATGTAGTCACATAAGGATGATACTCAAGTACACGACATTTTCTGATACTGTATTTTAAATTGCTGGCCTGTTAGATAATCAACCTTGAAACAAGTAGGGTAAAGACAACAACGCCTGAGGATCTCACAAACCAAGTATTTTCTCAACTAGAAATCCCAAAAAGGCAGAGTTCCAATGATAACTAATTCATGCAAGAATAATTTTCTAGGAAAACAAAAAGCTCAATTTTTACCAAATTATATAAATAAGAGCTGGGTAAACTTATACTCACTAAAATCATGCAAAATAGGAGCTTTACCTAGTTTGAGTTTTTTAAAATGACTGCTGAAGCAAATCTTAACACAGTTATAAAGTACCATACATTCTCATGTGTAAGTCGAGTTATGCAGCACGTTTTTAGTGCAGTTTTTGTGGTAAAATTAGGTGCCTTGGCTGATATTCGGGTTGGCTTATACTCGAGTATATATAGTAAGTTGAAATAAAACACTGGTTAAATATGACACTCAAAAATTAATTAGTACAGACTAATTACTAATTAGTCTTAATTAGTAGCTTAATTACTTACTTCTCTGTATATCCAAAGCTTCTAAGCTTAATTAGAAGCTTAATTACTTACTTCTCTGTATATCCAAAGACATATAAATGCAAAAATCTTCCCCAAAAGTAAGCAGATTAGTATTATAGCAAACAGTATTCACATATGAGGGAGGCTTTTTATTTTGTTTGATCGTTAGTTTCAATACATTAGGCTAAGATTAATGTCAGCATTAGACAGTAAAGGAAACTGGCTGACTTACTTAAATCAAAAGATGAAAGTAAATGATTTTTCTTAGCATGTCAAGTTAAGAGACTATAAAAGTAGTATGTACTATAAAAATCTCAACTGTGTCCAGATTCAATAGTTTGGATATATTTGTAAACACTTACATTTACTTTAAAACTATATCTTTTTAAATCAGTTCTAGGGTCATTATCTATCAAAGAAGGGCAATGTTCAACTAAATCATTACCTCACCAGTCTCATAATAATGGTTTTGACATTGGAGTTCATAAAGCAGAAACGATTCAACTTATTTTATTCATTTGATCATTACGATAATCACTTTTTAAGATCATCCAAGTGTTTACAATTCTCAAAATAGTTCCCTTTTAAAAAGGCTCCCACGCTGTATACATTATGTATACAGTATACATTATGCCGGATACAGTAGGGCACCTGCTTTAATGAACCCACTACCAGTATTCTCATTTATAAAATGCCACATTAAGAAAATGACTGCATTTCTTAACTCTGCTGGACACCCAATTCTTTTTTACTGATAGCCTGCACAACCCTCTCTAATTCATGATTGCATGATAAAGAAAATCTAATGTATTAAAAGGAAAACCCTCTTTTAGTGTCACCTCACTTTTCTTTCAAGTCTGTTACTGAAGCACTGTAATGTGAAAAGAATTCAGATGAACTGTTATCTCCTGAAAAATGCTGCAAGAAAACATGATTAGATACCCAAAAAAGCTACACACATTATACTGAAGACCAGCAAGGAAGTTATCTTTCCCCCAAATGTAAGTATCATATCTCAACCTAAACATGGGCTAACTTGCTAAGCTTATATAAATCAACAAAAAAAACAAAAACAAGCAAGCTCACTACCATCAAGTCGATCCCGACTCATAGTGACCCCATCGGGCAGTGCAAAAATCCGCCCTTGTGGATTTCGGAGACTGTAACTCGTTATGGAAGACGAATGCCTCATCTTTGCTCTTGCGGAGCAGCTGGTGGTTTCAAACTGCTGACTTTGAGGTTAACAGCCCAACTCAGAAATCACTACGCCACCACATAAAATCGAAATTAAACTTCTTGAAAAATGAAACTTCTGTATATAAGCTACACAGGAACCACAACAACCCTTTTCACAAAGATCCCCAAAATTGACTCCACAAGAGTTGAGAATAGTGAGATTCCAGGAGAAATGATCAAATAATGCTAACTAACCTCAAACCCACTGTCACCAAGTTGATTCCAACTCATAACAATCTTCTATAGGGTTTCTGAGGTGGTAAAGCACTATAGAAGCAAACGATCTCCTCTTTTTCCTGAAGAGCAGCTGATACGTTTGAACTGCCAATCATGGGGTGGGCAGTTCAATGCTGACCCAACAATGGCACCACTCACTCAAACCTTGTTGCTATCAAGTCGATGCCAACTCATAGCAGCCCCACAGGACAGGACAGAAGTGCCCCTCTGAGTTTCTGAAGCTGTAAATCTGTACAGGAGCAGAAAGTCTCATTTGTCTTCCTTCAAAGGCTGATGAGTTTGAACTGAAGACACTATGGGCAGCAACCCAATGGGCAACCCACTGTGCTACCAGAGCTCCTTGAAAAAGGTCCATATGCCACGAATTCCAATGGTCTGTCATTGCACAGTAAGAGATCTGTCTAGTGTTTAGTATGTGCTAGGTCTGTGCTAAAAGGTTTTATATAACCACAGCAATCCGGGAGGTAGAATCTTCCTTTTACAGAGAAGAAGCCAGAAGCACAGAGAAATTAAGAAGTTCATTAGTTCAAGGTCACCCGATGCAGGAAAGCAGAAAGGGGGGAATCTGAATGCAGGCAGTGTGGCTCAGAAGTGTGCACTGGGTACCACTCTGTAAAAGGTCGAAGGGTTTTCAAAATTTGGGTTCAATCCACATCTAAAAGGGGAAAATGGATATACTGCAATATATTGGGAGGTATATTTAAGTCATCCTGTAGAGCAAGAATTGGCTGAATAAGCTGTAATGTCTGTGTAGTTCACAAAGACCTGGTGGCCTACAATCTTTAATATCTCACACTATTTAAAAATCCCTCTCTGGTTCTATTCCCTAACACACACCCTTTTTTAAGACACAATATTCTTCTTGTTACACGCATCACATCTTCATGTCCCTAGCTTTAAAAAAAATAACTTTATTGTGAATTGCATGAACGTTTCCAGAGAAAATCAGTTTTTCACTCTACAATGCATCTATATTTTAAATTCAATCATTACAAACCCTTCAATGTAACATCATTATCCCACTTCTTTCCTGTGTTTTCTGTTTCCATCCCTCCTCCTTTCCTGCCCTTTTCTGCCTTCTGAACGTTTGTTCTTGGGTAAAGACCACCCTTTGATTTCAAATAGGTAATTACCCTTCTGGTGTACAAACCTTCCTGGTGTCTGAGTTCTTCTTATAGTCCTGGGTATGGTTTAAGAGGACTAAGGGACAGTCCAGGACAGTGGTTCTCAATCTTCCTAATGTCACGACCCTTTAATATAGTACCTCATGTTGTGGTGACCCCAACTATAAAATTATTTTCTTTGCTACATCATAACTGTACTCTTGCTACTGCTATGATTTGTCATGTAAACATCTGATATGCAGGATATATTTTCATTGTTACAACTGAACATAATTAAAGCATAGTGATCAATCACAAAAACAATATGTAACTATATATTGTGAAATATTTATTTCTAATGACAAATAAATTTTGTCTTGAAGCATGGTGTAGCATGGGTAACAGTCTTCGCAGCGGGTACTCATATGTGGGCACATCTGCATGTGGGCTGACCCCCCGGAGATGGATAGAGGAGCAGTGTCTCAGTTCCTAAGACCATCGGAAAGATGTGAAAGGGTTGTTCAACCCCCAAAGGGGTCGCGACCCATAGGTTGAGAACTGCTGGTCTAGGAGGCTCCACAGGTAGCCTTGCTCTTTTTATTGATTTTTTTTTTGGTTTTGGTCCATATTTTTCTCCCATTTTATCCAAGACCTTCTAATATGACTCCCCTTTCTAGAAATGTTGCAAGTAATTTTGATCCAGCAAAGTGACATTATGAAAATAAATACCTTTTTTTCCCATTTAAAAAGTATTCCCAAACACTAATCTGTTTTAAATAATAAATCATTCTAATGGATTAACTAAAAAGAGCTATTTTCAAGATATTTATAGCCAATTCAAAAGAACTCACAGCCGTTGAGTGTGTTCCGACTCAGAGGCCATCTGAGGCAGGGTAAGCTGACCCTGCGGGTGCTGAGAGCACATGGGACCCTTTCAAAGGGTAGGATGGCGGAGCCCCATGGAGCAGTTGGTGATTTTGAACTCTTGACCTTACACTCAGCAGCCCAATGCTTAACAACTACCCCACCAGGGCTCCTCACACCCACCTGAAGAATGCTTTTTCATAGGCCGTCAAACGGAAATGTTGACTATTAAAGCTGTTCCAATCTAGAAATTCCATACCCTATTTTTCTACAAATAATTTCCAGAGTTAGACAAAGCAACCTATTCCTAGTAATTATGAATGTTACAATTTCTACCACATACCCTATATTCTACGTTGGTATCTAATCATGTACAGAGCAAATATTTAATGCTTCTTGCGTACCATAAAGAAGTTTTTAAGGAGTAAATTAAGGTTGAATGTTGCATCCTTTGCCTGCCCCTCTTGTAGATCTGCCCCACTTCTCTTCTGATTCCTCCATGTTCCTACCACACTCCTAAACGTACCTGGTTTAGCATCCTGACCAAGAACCCAGTAAGAATACTTGCTAGTTGTTAACTGCTCAGGAAACAAGAGTTTCTTGAACTTGTGGTTACTTGGTGTTTTTTTGGGGGGGTTGATCCTTATTGACATCAACCAAATCTACTTCCTCTAGTGTCTCGTCTACTGCATTAGATCAATCAATGCATTTGTTTTGTTAAGAGCCCAGTACTACCCTACATGCCCCAAGGACAGAGAATTAGTGACAGACACAGACGGCCTTCTAAATAGTAAGAACACAACTCAAATAAAGTGGTAAGATTTAATTATGTAGGTAAAAATTCAGGTGAGTTTTAAGAGTGAGTGGAAACCAGAAAAGAGGGAAAAGGGAAATTACTTCACCCTCTCTCTGCAACAAGTTACAACATAGGTGAAACACAAAAATTAGAATTAGGGCAGCATGTTCAAATGTGGACTGTTTATGTATTAGCTTTTCAAGCACTTTCTATGATTTGGGCTTTAAAAGGTCCTTTAAATATTTTGTACAAATTACAAAGGTACTTGTTTCTTTCTGAATAACCACATTCAGGATTTCTCTATGAGATCTGTATAAGTAATCAGAAACATATTAAGGCGGAAACACTAATAATTCATTTAGTAAATTAATTTTAACTAGAAGGAAACAATCTTACAGGATCTAAGCAAGGAGATAGGCTCCACAGCTTTGTCATCTCTGTACATTGTGACATACACAGAACTCTGCTTATTTAAACACCAACGGAGCCTCACTAATAGGCTCACTGGACCAGTTCTCGATCTGTCTTCACGTCATTCAGAAGTTCCCAGGTTTCAAGGACATTATTCAGTTCAAACCAATGGCACTTTCTACTATTTTTTCTCCAAGGGACACATGTTTTAATTATATTAACAAAAAACATTTATTAATAAATGGTGGTAATTTTTCTTTATTTCCCTTTTTACTAATAAAAGAATGCTATTAAACTTTTGTTTTCATTAATGAAAGAAGGCTGACACGACGTGTGAATAATGTAGCATAAATAACTAGTGTCCAGATAAGCAGTTATCTTGTGAGGGCATGTCCACATATGCTCAATTAGCTTTCTGCAGACACTGGTGTTTTCAAATGGTGAAAACCCGGAAGACCTTGATTATAACTTTCGGGAACAAACCCACGTCTCGTGAGCCCAGGCTCAGGCCCATGGGCAATCAATCATCAGCTCACCGCACCGCGCATGTTACTGACTCTGTGTCGATGACCTGACGCTTGCTCCCTGCTCAGGCCCTCACTTCCCTGCAGCTGACTTTTCATGGTCCCAGAGCTGCCAGCTTCTTTGCCAGTTTTTGCTTTCTCGTATTCTGGTTTGATAATTCAACAAATTTATACTGTAGTAGAGAATAACTGCAATACGGTGAATTAAAATTTAGCCAATCATGTAAAAAGCTTAAAACTGAAGGACCAGAGGAGATGAAAACCTATACATAGGAATTATTTCTTCTTCCTACTTCCCCCAAACCCCACATAATGATTTCCCTTAGTGTGTTAAAATCTTCCATGTAAGAGCTATATATTTCATACTTATGTTTTAAATGTTCACAAAATGCCTTTCCATTAGTCTATTTGTTGAGTTCCCCTAATATCAACCCCTAGAAAAATGTCATGGGGTGTGGCGGTGGTGTGTGTGTGTGTGTGTGTTTCTGTTGCTAAGTAGACCTCTTAGAGGTTCATATGACCAAGAGCAAATTCAGGCATGAGAAATCCTAGAGAAAAGAAGCAGGCTGGTGTGGTCTAATCCAGCTTTTCCTCACCCATATCTAGCAACAACACAGAACATACCTGAAGGAATAAGTATCTCCAATTGTATTTCTAGAATTATCACCTAATTCCTCGTGGTTCCACTAACATTGGTAATAATGTGTCTACTTGGATGCGGCTGCTCCTCAGATGTTATCACATTCAAATCTTCCAAGTAGGTGAAAACTTTATAGAAAATCTTCCAAGACTCCCTCTATGAAGAACATCTCCTTCATACTTACCTTTCTATAGTGCTTGTCACTTTCAGGTCCGTGATCTGTTGCTCTAAACGCTGTTTCTCCAGGTGAACCTTAAAGATAAAGATACAATCCTTTAAGTTCTCCAATGATATCAGGAGTCCAAACTACATTCCAAATAATGCCATTTAAAAGATTAATGGATTTTTAGAGCAACCCATAACCAAAGCACGAAATTATCACTTTTAGAAAACAATGTGTATTTTAAGGAAAAATACTGCTAATCTATTTAGGCTTCCAAAACAAAATACTCATAAATGTACAGTTAAAAAATATGGCAATCTTTGGTAAGGATTCCTTTCCAAGAGAGTATTTACAAACTGGCCATACAACACTGCCATCACAGGCCACATACACTCTGAAACTCAGCTTACAATTGCAACCATGACAAGGCAGATGAGACATACTAAAATTACTTTTCATTTCATTTATCAACAACACTTAGAGCTATTTTAAGAAAATACTTTGGCTAAGCAAACTGTGATCTTTAAAAGCTTTACTCTTATAACAGATACATATTTAGGCATTTTAGGTTACCACAAAATAATTTTCTTATTATTTCCACCTAATGGATAGTTTGCCTGATATAGTTCTGGAGTTTTAAAATTCAGCATAAGCAGCAGTATAATTTGGTCTGCAATTTTTATTTGCAACTAGTTTATTAGAAGCATTTAGAAGGCATGTTAAGGTCAGCAAAAATGTCCGTTTACACACCTAACAAGAGCAGTGGATCAGAAGCTTCTATGATTTCACTAACCAATTTGTGACCTGTGAAAAATCAGCAAAAGGGGAAATAGAGATGAGCAAACAAATACAGCCGAGACCTCAGATTTCTATCGCGAAGGGGCAGCGATTGGGCTCACTTTAATGAAATTTGCTTTAAGATCACCAAGTAGGCTGCAACCGATCATGAAAAGTAAGCACATAGGAAGTCTCATCTAGTTGTCAGGAACATGCATACGTGGCTTTGCTTCCCGTCACTGCCTCAAGCCAAGGATGTGTAAGCTCTTCTACCGTCTTACTTTATTGGATGAATACAGATTACAACCACTAATAAGGAAAATTTTTTTGATGTGGTGTTTGTGTGTGTGCATTTAAACTTGTTTTACCTTTGTGATAATATTTAAAATTTAAAAGATGGGAATTAAAGCATAAATACTTCTAAGTATTTTTCCTCTGTAGTTCTTGAACTTGATCAAATTAGCTAAAACAAAGACCTTTCCTTACCCGTGGTAAAGAAGTCCTTCAGTAAGCTGAGGCTCTCAACAATCTTGTCAAAGTCGGGTACTAACTTTGTGAGGTCTTCTGAATTAGGAAGGGCGTTTCTGATTTTTTCTGGAGAAGATGAAAAAAAACAAACACATTCTCAAAAAAAAATTAAAAATTGAGTATTATAAAAGTTATCTAAACTTTAAACAACACATGTATATTTACATTAAATATTTGGATGTTTCTATTATAAACACTGTATATATCAGCTATTTTGATGATTTTCGATAAGGCATGAAAGTGAAAAAAAACTCAAAAGGAATATGGCTTAGAAGGATAGCTTTGATTCATAGGTTAAATGTTTTGTGAAAGAACTTTATATTTGGACCACTTGGTCTGGATTCATGAATACAGATTAGAAACTCCTACGACAAGCTCAGTGACAGAACTCCACGACTCTCTTCTTCCTTTCAGTCTTCAAGAAGACGTAAGAGAGCCCTGGTGGCACAGTGGGTTATGTGTCGGGCTGAAAAACACAGATAGCACTGTTTTAAACTATGTAAATATGCGAAAACCGTTTAAGGAACATAGTTAATTGGACTCAGTTTCTAAAAAAAAAAAATTAGCAGGCAAGCCTGGAACATATGTAAACAGTCCTTTACTAAATCATCTGGGAAATATAAAAAGTCAAGGTCAGTAGTTAGGAACCACCAGTTAGTTACTCCTCGGGAGAAAGACAGGGCTTTCTGCTCCTGGTAAGAGTTAAAGTATCAGAAACACACAGGGCATTTCCACCCGAAGGGGTTGCTATGGTCAGAATCAACTCAACGGTAGTCAAGTTATGGAGTTGTTTACATTTGAGTGTTTCAGACTCAGTACCAGTTATGAACAATCCGCCACAAGTTCAGGACAAGTTTAAATTTTATTTCTGCTAACCATGTCTTCATAAAATGGTTACATCATTATTATTTACTCTCACTCAAAAAGCTTGCCAAAGTTTAGCATCAACTTGATAAGATTTTCCGAGTTAGGAATTTCCTCTGGAGAAGAACCTCGCAGTTATATGTCATAAAGTGAGAGTACATAGCCGATCTCCTTCGATGTTCTAGCAGGACTGGCTTGCTCAATCCCCATGATAAACCACTGCTCGCAGATAAGTCCCTTGTCCCAACACACAGCATGGAACTGGTGGGCTCAGGGTTCAAGCCCCGCAATCTTAACTCCAGAATCCATGTTCCTCGCCCCTTCCACGGTGGTCCTAGCAGATGTTGAAAAGCTCTCCTCATGAATGTCAAAAACCAGTGCTCACTTGGGCAGCACATAGACTAACATGAATGTCAAAAAACAATTGGAAAGTGTTTCAAATAAGCACACGTTTTATCTCTGAGTGCTGTGAAAAAAATATGTGGCAAGATTGAGTCCACCTCCACAGATATCTAAGCTATGAAATTAGAGAAATTCTCAAAAAAGATATATAAAGAAAACCAATTCATGCAAAAAAATTATTTTCAGATATCATCACCATGAGTTACTGACAACCACATTCATGAATACACTTTTCCCCTCATCACTCGATAGTGCAGCGTTGAAGCACTCGGCCGTAACTGAAGACTTAGCAGTTTGAACCCAATCGCCACTCCTGGGGGCAGTCGGCTCCCATAGTGAACCCAAGGACAACCTTGGCAACCCGACGGGGCAGTTCTAATCTGCCAGAGGGTCGCAACCAGTAAGAAGCTGACTTCATGGCAATAGGTTTGGGTTTGGAGTTGGGATTTTAAAGGGGGACAAGGGCCGAGAATGGTGAGAAGTCACTCTGGAGACAAACAGAATCTTAAGAATGCTGCTTCCAAAAAGTTGATGTAAGCATATTACCCAGCCAAAGGAGTTGGCCAGGTGGATGGCGGTGCATCTGTGTGCAGACCCACGGTGCCGGGGCAGCGAGGCTGACAGACTGCGTCTGCTAAGGCACAGGAGGTGCTCACCGTGACTGCAGGGCTGTTTCAAAGGGGACAGGAACAGCAGCCACACACACATATAAAGTGAAAGGAAACTGGTCCCTAAGATTTGTGGTAGCTCGAAAATAATTTTTCTTATGAATTGTCTTTGATATTCCACAACCTTAGCATTAAAATAAAATTGCTCTACAGTACACGAGTTTTACAATTATGCCAATACGATGATTTCCCTTCACCCAGGAAATAACAAGAAAAACTTGAATGGTGCTGATACAAACCAAAATCTATATAGTCATCAATCTCCCACACAATGTCGGGCACGATCCATTTATAGTCACTAAGGTCAGGTATCATATCTTTCCACTGATCAAAAGTCTAGAAAGTAAGAAAGTATGTCAATCAAACACACAGACGGCCATAGAAAAATAAAGATAGCACTATTTTAAACTATGTAAATCTACTGAGAGCAATGCAATATGTGAAAAACACTTAAAGAACACAGTTATTTGGACTCAATCCTCTAAAAATAAATCAGCAGGCAATCCTGAAACATATGTAAATAGTCCTTAACTACATATGATGGCCATTGCAAGCAGGCTTCATGCTCTGGCTTTAAGTACTGCTGTGGACAGAAAGCAGAAAGCTGGGGGTCCGGAGGCCTTGGCCATGTGTCCTAGGCCACCAGTAGATGGTGGTCTGGGAGTTGCCTCACTCTCTGTCTGGTCTTCCGACAGCACCAAAGGCCAAAATGAAAAACAAAGCAGGGTTTCCACTCCCAGCCCAGTGCATACCCTGCAGGCTGCTTTTAGTGCCCACGATTATAACTGAGATTCAGAAGACAGCTTTCTACTAGCACCATTAAACAATTTATTAAACAGCAAAAACAAGCACACACATATCTGAACACACTGCACTAAAGGACTCGAGGCCACGGCACTACGTACTTAAACCTTAAGAAAAGCAGACTGGAATACGTGGAACACCAGCAGCAAAGTTACACTCACCTTTTTGGCCGTATAGCCGCCGCCCACAGCAGATCCCAGTACGATATATCGAAGCTTCAAGAGCCTTGCAGCTAGTCTTGCTGGCCAAAAATGTCTGCGGGGCTGGTAGCCATATTTAGCTGGAGACAGCTTCAATTTGCGTAAAGGAAGGTTAGTCAAAGAAGAAAGGGGCTGAAAGGATGTCCTTATTTGGGGTCTCTGAAGCTTTAAGGTAGGATGATGCCAATGAGAAATACTCCGGGAAACCAAATGGAGTTTCTGTAATGGTAAACGTCCTTTGACTCCACAGCTGTGTTTCACTAAGGCTTGGCAGACCTCACTGGAAGAAAAATGGGTACAGGAAAAAGATTAGGCAGGGTATGTGTGCATGCAGAAAAGACACAACACCCATGTACTACAGGATGACACCCATGCACACATGACTGACACTGTGTCATCAAGAGCTCGCATTTTCTAACCATTTACTATGTGCCAGGCACTGCAGCAGCAGCAGCCTGGGAGATCTCCTTTATCCCACCGACAGCCGTGGAAGGAAAAGAACTGCCATTCTCTCTCACAGGTGCGAAACGTGCCACCCACAGAAAGAGCCCTTCCACGCCCCACTGAGAGGGGTACTGGTGGGCTCTAACATTGGCTCCGGAACTCAGCAACCTGCAAGCTCATTCATTCTCTCTCTTGTGAGCTAGGATCCTGGTCTAAGGAATTAATACTGGGAAAAAGAACAGGTTAAGAGTTATTTTTAAAGGCATGCACTTTTTCTTTCTGGTACAGAAAGTCTCAGCAGCTTATATGTCTTGCTTAAATTGTATTCCTTGCACCTCCCAGGACTGGAACTTGAAGAGAACCCACCAATCCCCCACGTGTCTTGTTGCTCAGAAAATGAAAGTAGCAAAAAAATCCTGCAAAGAAAAGAGAATGTAGAAGTAACATTATTGTCTGAGTTCTACAAGAGTCCCTCTGTAGTAGGGAATGAATACAGGACGCCAACCTCGTGCTCGGTTATCTTACTCAACTGTACAGGGGCAGTCCGATCCCATCCTGTCAGGTCCAGAAGAGTCAACATTGACTGGATGGGAGGGAGGTTGGTTTGAGTACTACAGACAGACTCTTTTCCGTTTTAAACCATGAATTCACTGAAGTACATGGATCTGTAAGCCTTGCAAGAAAAACGTCAAGATGGTAGGGAAAAGAAACATCTTTTACGTTCCTACGAAATGGCAGGCATCCTGCTCCACATTTTCACCAATATCACCATTCTTCCCAGAACCACCAAGAAAGGTAAGCATCCTGTTTACAAGCTTCATTCGTTAAGCTGCAAGCGAAACCGGGCCGACAGTGAGTGGTGAGTGGGCGCGGGGTGGGTGGAGGCAGCAGGTGTGGAAAGAGCAGTGGCTGCAGACAAGCGCCACTCTAGAGTAGAGCCCACCTGCTCGGGACGCCCAGGATGACACTGGCCTTGCTCTGATTCAAGACCACGGAGCAGCCTTCCAACACAGGACACCTAAGGGAATCAGGACTTCATGTGATGGCGAATATGCACACGGCTGTTAAGGTAGGGAGCTCATTTGTAATTCTACCTGTGAATGTCACTTCTGGTCACAAAAACTTGCACTTTGTTTGTAAAACCTGTTCAATAGCTTTTCATGTGCAAATGTTCATCACAGCATTATTCACAACAGGGAAACGGGAAAACAGCCCAGTGTTCCCGCAACAGATAAACAAAATGTGGTCTGACAGTGAAAGGTAATTCAGAAAGAGCAATGAAGTTCTGGATATGCTGACATGAATGAACCCTGAATGCAACACGCTGAGTGAAAGCATTTATAGGACATATCTAGAACAGGCAAACGCAAAGCCACACATCTAACAGGGGCTGAGAGTGATGGGAAGTTGGGGCTTACCGAGCACTATTGCATTCCACAGGGTGAAAACCTTGGAAACAGTGGAGATGGCTACTTCACTCTACTGCATTAAAATAGAGGAAGGGAGGCAAACAACCTCTCCCAAATGGCGTGTAATTAAGTCTGGGCTTATTCTCTCCACTCTTTCCTGTTTCTCTGAAGGTCCAAGCAATAAGCCTCTCCTGTGTAAACATGGATCCTGTAGAGCATGCAGCATCTTGATGGGGAGCTCCTGGGGTGATTCTTAGGAGTATTTTCCCAAATGTTAGGATTGTGCTTCGGTCAATTACTTTTCCGGGGCATGAGTATTGCATGCAGTATGAAACAGTCAACTACCATACGCCCTTGGCCATTCCCTACAACTCTCAAGTGAAGTCTGCTAGCTAGTTTGCTCAACTATTTCACGCAGTGGTAAAACATATGGTGGATTTGTATCAATGACTAAACAACAACAACAAAAAACCAAATTCACTGCCACCGAGCCAATGCTGCGTCATAGTGACCCTACAGGAGCTGGCCCTTGTGAGTTCCCGAGACGGTAACTCTTCCCGGGAACAGACAGCCTCATCTCTCCCCTGTCGGTACAGCTGGTGGTCTTGAACGGCTGACCTTGCGGAAAGCAGCCAGACATATAATCACTACACCACCAGGGCTCCCCTCCAGCCCACATCCTGATTGAAATCAAGATGTGGTGTTTCCAAGCTGAGGGTGGTCAGGCCAGCTGCCCACCCCCAGGACACGGTGGCCCATCTTCATGGTGAGGGCTCAGTATGATCCATGGGTGGCCACCCTTCCCTGTGCAGCCTCACCTTGCGGCGGGCTGGGGCCACCCTGTCCTAAGCTCTCCCTGAATTCCTGTGCTGGGCGACATGGCATGACCCAAGGACTCAGGAGAACTGCTCCTGAGGGTTTCCCAGACTGTCGCTCTTCACAGGAGGCGGAAGCTTTCATCCTTCTCCCGTGCAGCGGCTGGCGTTTTGGTGAGCAGCCAGTGCAGTGCACCACGTCAGCGAGCACCTAACCAGACTCTTATCGACAGCCAGCAGATCTTACGAAGAAGACCACAGTAAGCAACAAAACCACTACTATCCCGGATAAAGCTATATGAAAGTTTTACTCGAATTCTCAAGAGGACTGCTGAAGATATTGGAGATATAAAAGCAAATCATAATTTAAAAATATCAATACAACAATACAAAATTTACAGATTTAAGTATATTGTTAAGAGTTTAATAAGTTTTTGTTTTGTTTAAGCTCATGGGAGTTAAAGCTACAGTGACAAAACAGTAAGGCCAGAAAACTAATTAAGAAAACTCCCCAGAACTTAGACCACAAAACTCAAGGCAAACTTGCTGCTATCAAGTTGACTGTGACCCCTAGCAGCCCTACCGAGGCTCTGAGACTGGGAACCTTTTTTTCTGTCTCCCATGCAGCAGCTGATGAGCTTGCACTGCCGGCTCTCGTTGTTAGCAGTCTGACAGGGAGCCACACCAGGGCTCCCCTAGAACACAAGGAAGAGGTGGACAACACAAGAGTAAAGTTAAATGACATCGTGTGATGTACTAAATTACCTAATAGGCCTTGTCTAGCCATATTCTTTGATAACTCCCACCAAATGGCTTTCTTCTGATAGGCCTGAGTAAGAGAAAGTGGGGTAAGATGCTGACAGATTATACTGTGAGAGATTGTCTACACGGTTCATTGTGATTGCAAAACCTTGAACTCCAATGTAGTGGATGCTCAATTTTGTCATCCTACTAAGTATAAAATAAACCAACTCAGAAGCTGAAAGCGGGGTCTCAATATTATGAAGAGAGATGAGCCAAGGATGGTGTACGGACTGAGCAGAGGCAGGTTAAGGCCCCAATGCCCTGCACATCCCTGGAGGTCAGCAGCTGCCCCCTGGAACGAGGAGACCGAGAAACGGCGCCAAGGATGCCTGACTCCCCGATAAGCAGACATCCTGCGTGCCAGAGCTGATAAACTGCATCCTAGGCCATAAACCTCACTGCTGACCTCCTGAACCATAAACTTTGTTGCTGCAGCACGACCCTCCCGTCTCCCCGCTTCCCTTTAAAAACCCTGGTCCCTAAACAAAGCCCACAATTCCCCTGGGCTACTTGCTAGACCATGGGGCTTCGCCCAGGAGCTTCCCCCTAGTCAAGCTATTTCTGTTTCTGCTGTCCCTTTATGTTGTCAACTATCTTTGTCTATCTCTCGGTGCCTCAGTTTACCTCTCACTCATCTTATGCCTCAGGTCGTCTTCACAGATGGAACAAGCCATTTGGATCCCAAGATCCTGCGCTCACTGACTCTCCAAGATGCAGGGAAAGCAAGCTGTGACACCAGGAAAGTGGCAGGGCAGTGACAGCTGCAGAATCAAAACCCATGGCCCGAGACAGTGGTGAACTTTTGGCAGCAGAGCAAGTAAAGCTGAGTACCGTTGATAAGAGGCTTGCTTGCAGAGTAGGTTACCTCTAGGCATTTAATTGGGCAGCTAGGTTTGCTGACTCCTGCAGTCAGAGCTGAGTGCCTTCAGGCTGAGGCTGCGGGGCCCTTTGGGCATTCATCAGCACCCTAAAAGGTCTCTGCAGCATTACCTGGGCAGAGGCCAAGGGAATGTGTGGCCAAAGATCAGCGAGCTGCATGTCTGGGGGCACAGATGAGAAGAGGCCGTCTTGACTAGAATAACTGTCTTGAACATTTTTTATCCTGAATTGTAACCCATTAACTCCCCTAAAATCCCCACAACTTTTGAGTATTGTGAGTGCTGTGCGGGCACTATAATGAACCCAGGATTAAA